TGCTCCTATGAAGCTGATACTTGGATCATGTCGACCGCAGACAGAAGATCTCTCTATAACATTAGAGAAACTCATCACCGATTTTTACCGACACATTAGTTGCATCATGGGCTCGAAAGCCACGACAGATAATTCTGCACCTTTTAGTTATGCCTTTTAGTCATGTGAGGTGGAAAATCCCGGACAGAAGATCTTTAACACAGATCCTGCATACAGAAGATGCTGCTCTGATGGATCCTGTTCGAACAGCCTCTGACACCATCCTTATGTGAAACTCCAATTAGCTGTAGGATAATCTTCTGTGCAAACACAGATGGACGACTCTGCGTTCAAACCTGATACATCTATCAGCGAATCCAAATGGAAAAAACAAATAAATTCAAATTCATAATTAAACATCACTACAATAGGAGCCTTTCTTCTCAATCTCTAGATCTAACTCAACAGGCTGAAACGTGTCCGGACGACTACACTTGCAACTGTTGCATACCCCAAAATCGTCGCAGAAAATCTGAGTAGAGACGACTGCGGTGTAGGTCCTCCAGTCGTATTAATCGATACAACTTGCGAGTCGGACAGAACGACCAAAGTTAGAGCTGCCACGTTGGCATCTTCCCTGAGAGTCATATCCTTGGCTTCGCTATCTTTTCGGAGTAGAATTTTTTAGGGCCAGGGTTTGTGAAGGATCTTGCTTAGGATGCTTGAGCCGTGGCCTTAACAAAGTAGGATGCACTAGCAGCAATACACTTCCCAACAAGAGAGCCCACGAGTCGATTCGTGCGTAAAGATATTGACTCCACCTGCTGCCTGTCTCGAGATGAACTTAGAGCTCCCGAAAGCTAGCTTCATCATTACCTGATGCTAGGATCCTTCTATGACCAAAAAAAAGTCAGAGCACAAAGAATTCTGATACAAGCACAACTTTGACTCAAAAGTCGTTAGCGTAAGATGCGTCCTTGTCCTCAGCTTGTGGCGCCTCCATGCTTGAGAAATATAATGCCCGTTGTCCGGGAGCCCCAATATTGCCCAAAAGTAGCGGCAGCGACTCGTCCTCGTGTCCTTCAGTATGATCCTGTGGAGAAGGATACGTCATCGCAGCTTGCAGAGCGTTGGAAAGCAAGACCGCTAGGAATATGATCTGGAAGGCGTGAAAGAGTAACACTAGGGTGACATTTTTCGCCGCCCCAAGTAGGTTCGTGTCTAGCCAGCTAGTGTTAAAGGTACTAGTTGTATACGAATCATCTTCATTATCCGCAGATGAATGATGTGAGTGATCAGGATATTGTCTAGTGATGGTTAGGTTAGGTAGTAGACAATGATCATTTTTCGCAGGTGAGTGTGAGTGATCATTTCCTGGATACTATCTCCCCCCTTTATCACATTATGGTGTCCACCCACAAAGTTCTACTTCCCTATATGTTCACCTTGGTTTCTTATTGAAATAAATAGATAGAGATCCAGTCAGGACCACAGACCACACTCACAGGATAATCATTCCACAGGATAAAAATCATGACAGGATAAACATCAGCACACGATAATCATCGACTACGGCCCTTAATATTGGCACCTACCAAAAACGGAGCCGACGTGAACAGTGCGCCGATTAAAAACACCGCTGCTGGACTGCCTCGGCCGTTGCTCTGCTTTGTCTCCATATTTTTCCTCACCCACGACATCTCTTCGAATTTATTTTGCACAATTAACTTGTGCTCTCTACTTTTGAATACTTATACTTAGACATCTTCATCTTCATTCTACAGCACTGCGAGAATACGATCTTCTTCAAGAGTATATGTGGCCATTTCGACGTCACTCGATGTGCCGATTTTTCAACAACGTTTCTCTTATACGTGCGTCCGTTTCACCACGACTCATTTCACAGAAATCGCTCAAAAATTCTGACCACTCTGCTTACGACGTATACTTTTGTTTTTACTTTTTCACTCCATCCCCCTCAATCTCCTTATCTGTGATCGGATCACGATTCCCCTCGAGCAAAAGGTTGTAATTACTACTAAGCGACAGGAGTCATGGGTGTGCGCAGGCGCAGAGAAGTCAGTAATTGACTTTTGGAGAAAACAACAAAGCTCAAGCTCAACATATAATCGTTGTTCATATATAAACGCAATTCATTAGTGGATGTGAACGCTCTTCGGACAATGCAACTCATTAGTGGCGGACCACGTTGTTTCGGCAGAATACAAGACGAGACTCTTCGTGCGACATCTCCTAAGAAGGTACGGTCGATGAGTGATCGTCATGCGTCAACTAAAAAAACCTCTATCATAACTCGTACTAGTTGTATTCTTTGTCTGAAGACAGAGAAAAACAAACCAATCTCCCACCTACTTCATGCGACCAGAGGGTTCTTGTCAAATCTTCTCAGGGTGGTCCTATGTTAGTACTGTACAGCCATTCACTCAGCAGGGCCACTTGAAGATAAAAAAGTTCAGGATCTCACTTTTCCCCTTACAGAGAAATCCAAACTCTATTTCACGACTTCATATTAATGCAAAGGACCGTCACAACAGTGCCTGCCACAGCGAGAACAGGAACAACAACACAAAGAACGATTTTCCACCATGGAAAACCTCCACTGGTTTTGTCCTCTTGGTTTTGTTCTGCTGCACGTTTTTGCGAAGCAAGGTATCCTGGCGAAGCAGGCTGTCCTGAAGAAGCAGAGTGTCCTTCTTCTCTAGAAATGTGAACTCCTGCAGCTCCTGCTCCACTGGCAATCAGCCGTGCTCCTCAACTGGTAACGTGTACTGTAGACGCAGCTCCGACTGATTGATTGATTGATTGATTCATTGATTGACGTACCCACTCAGGGGGTACAGCTTTTTTAATTAAGTGTGCAGGTTTGTAGTGCTAATCCTTCTCCTCTCTGTTGCACTTCTCTTTGTTGCATCTTCTTTCGTGATTCCTCATTATGTCTGCTCTTTTTGATCTTTGTATCATCGTTGTTTTCTTCTCTTCAAGTTCCAACTTCCACTTTTTGCACTTTAGACACCATATGCGCGTCTTCTCAGCATTGGCCCACTGCTTTTCATCCACCCAAATTTTGCGCAACCTTGCCGAAGGGCCACGACGGTGCTTTCTTGTCTTCGGATTATAGAAGTGCTGCTCTGGTCTGCAGATGTTCTGTAGTGCTCCAACTCCCGGACTATCACGCCGAGTTAGATTTGCTCCTGGATGAAAACGAGTGTGCTATCTACGGCGCCTCTCCACTGGCAGGAGATTTTTCAGTAGTACTTGTGAGGAAGTACTGCAGCAACCCTAGACTATCCAGATCCCGGCGGCTGACATAGTCGCCTTTTACAATTTCCTTTAGGAACCGTGCGTCTTTTTTCAGTTCTTCTGCGTGCGCAAGCACGAACGCATTTCGCTGCACGGCTTGTAGGACGATTTCTTTGTCATTTCGTAAATTGCGAGATGCGTACTCAAGTTTTTTTTTTGTTGTCTACTGTCTACAAGTGCACCACCGCGTGACTTGAATCGGGGAGATGGCCCGAAGCTACAAGCAAATTCAAAGAACAGGGACGTGGCCTGCCTTGTAGAAAAGCTAGCGCGGGCTCGCAGAGCCACCTATCTAAGCGCACATTAACCGTGATGGATATAGGAGGCGAATTCTAGCAAAGTGTTGGCTAGCTAAACAACCACTCATACAAAATTGAGGAAGGATCGGCAGGGACACTAGAGTTAAATAACACCCAGAAGATCATATATGGATCTTGCTGCTGGGGGACGTGGCCCCAGCAACCAAAGTGCATCATCGTGATTGAAAATTCCTCCTGCCGTCCATGAAAAATAAATGAGTAAGATACTTGCAGAAGCAAAAGAACGATAATGTTTGGTGAGGCTAAACTACGTCTAAATCCATAAGAAACAGGCTCGCTCCCGGATAACTCGAATCCCAGCGAAGAAGGCTCGCTCCCCGAGAACTCGACGAGTCCCACCAAATTTTATCGTAGCCCAATCTCTAACACTTGGTGCGCAACTCGGTTTTGATGGCCCCCGATGGCTCGCTGCTCTTGAAGGAGGGTCGCTCCCGGAAAACTCGGATCCCAATAGGTTTTATCGTGGCCCAATCCATAACACTTGGTATGCAGCTCGGATTTGATGGCCACAGATAGCTCGCTGTTCTTCAGGGGGGACCTCGCCACCATTTGCGTCTTTGACCGGGTGAGCACGTTGCCACTTTTTCAGTGGCGAGGAACGATGAGTCGGCACATCTTCTCTCAATGAATAGAAATAAAAGCAAATTTTTTCAAGCACGGTGTATAGGTCACGAAATTGCCACGCTTACCCAATTAATGCATTCAATTAGAAGTCAAATTGAAGTTAAATAGATAGACAGAAACATTTGATACAAATAGAAGAACGTTGCTGAGATAGGGACTGTGCCCGACGCGGATGAGCGAGTTGGTAATAACAACGGTAACTGAATTTGAAAACACATGACCGTTTTGCAATATAATGGGTAAACCGTCTGGAATAATTCACTCTCGGTCTTAAGCAAATCTGAAAAGAATGGCTGTTAAATGACTTAGGGGCGATCATCATCCGAGCAAGATCAGTACACCATGAGTATGTATCTACTCTGCTATTTTTTTTGGATCGCTGCTTGATCTTCGATCGTCTTTAGTCTTCCCGCTTTTTGTTCCACCGACGTAAGTTCTGATGTTCTTTTTGAGTAACTCCTTTCCTGTGGCTTTACAGTTGTGGTAACTAGTAGCTCGTCTATGCTTAGTTCTATGGTCCTGATTGTCGTACCAAGTGCAGGCGTATGCACTTGATGCTCGGTGCTAGTTAGTTGCTTTTTCCCCTTTGTGGCACTATTAAAAACTTGCTCGCACTATTGCTGTGGTAGTAGTCGTATATTTAAGAAATATAGTACGCGTTTGGATTTTTGAGTCTTAGTGAGATGGTCGTGGTGAGTCAGTAAAAAATAACAAATCATAACGAGTATATCATTGACAGACTAAATTATAAGACAAAAAGCTGACGAGCTACTACTCTGATTCATTCTATAAAGCGTACGAAGTTGCCATAACGTACTAATAACTTAATGCGTCGAGACTGTGTCGATTGCAATTACATGTACGAACTCTACTGCGCTACTGATTTACGATTGGTCTTGAAGTTGATTCTACTAGATGTATCGCTGAACCACCTTAGCTTATTCCTGACGGTCGTCACGGCTGTAAGATGAATAGATCGTGGAGGTGTAGCAAGGAAGTACAAATTAGACCCGTTTTAAATAGATATGGTGAACGGGACTGAAGTTAACTCATTATGAAAGAAAAAATTGCAAATTATGAGAGAAAACGTATGTAGTGGTTGCTACTTAGTGTTGCTTCCTGGCATATCTAAGATTAAGGCTGGCATTTGCGGTGACGATGTTTAAATTGATGCGGATTTGCGTGAAGCGTGTGATATACATGAGGAGCTTGGCGCTGATCTACGTGAAAGTAAGTTTTACATACTAGTATTGAACTTCACTCCTTAGCTCTGAGCCTTCTAACTGCTGTAGTATTGTGTCTGTCAGTACAGTTGTAAGTGATTGCGATTCTTCTTGTGTGGCTTCTTGCATGGTTCTAGTTTTCTAATGGTTTACTTTGCTTCTTGCTGATTTGTATTTGTTGTGCTTGGTATGGCATTATACATCTATGCTGAGCTTTCTTCTATTGCTGTGCAACTGCTTTACAGGTTGACCGATCCGAATCCAAGCTTATATTGTGTGATATAATGCATGTTAGTACTTATTTTTAGAATTTCACTTGCGCTACTTGTTTTGGCCACTACTGTGCAGCATCCCACTCGGCAGACCGATGCTGAAGCGTTTATATTCTCTCCTGCATAATTGACAACCGCTCAAATTGCGGCTAAATTTCGCTAGATCTTCTGACGCAAATACCTGTAGAGTGAGATGTGAATTTTTCGGGAGTTCTTCTGTTTCTATGCGAAAGAGATTGATGGCGACGCTTAAGAATTACATCTCTGATGGTGGGAAAGGGACCCTTATGCATTTGTGTTGTAGATTTGAGAACTCTAGCTGGTGTTGTGCTGTTATGCCTGGTAGTAGTATTGGTGGTTTTACTTGTGTGGTAAAGTGCATAGTCCTGGTTTTCTAGTCTTATACTGTCGTGCTTCTTGTGCTCTTCGCTGCTTTTCCCCTGCTCTCTTGAATAGTCGATGCTGATTTTGTTTTTCCTGCGCAAAACCTTACTAGTTCAAGTGCGTCTGAGAGTCGTTGGCTTCTTTAGCTCTAGTACCTGTATGGTGCGATTTGATAACTTGTTCAGAAGTTTTGTGGATGGTTCGATCTAATGACGTCGATAATAAATTTGCTATCCCTGACCAAGGAATAACTCAGCCCCGCAGCGTGGTAGAATTCGCTACCTACGTATACGAGAGAAGGAAACTCAACTGAATTGCAACAGCACTGAAGGGGCATATTGGATGATACTAGTAGATGAAGCAGTATGCCCCTTGCAGTGTTTTGCTTTATTTAAAAGTTCACGCCCCTCGTTGGTTGAGGGACCCTGACGCCGTGGGTGAAGGGTAGGGGCCTTACCTTCACATCCTTCCCGTCTTTTTTGCCCTGAGCTTCGAGCCAGTCGTAGTCCTCGTATGCCGCAAGTCACCAGCCACAACCTCGAAGTGCCGCGCTTCTAAAGCTACCCTTGCGCCACTTGACTGCCCGCGGCTGCTTGCACCTTGCTCATGTCAGCGCGGATCATCTTGTTGATTTTCCCTCTCATCCTGTGCACAGTCAGCTTGTCGGGAAAGTCTGCCAGAAGATTTACGGGAGACTTGACGACTCTAATCGGGTACTCGGTCGCGTCCTCCCTGCCAGCAAAGTCGTCAATGCCTATCCGGAACCTATCCACCGTGGGCGCCCGAAGGCGAGCCCCTGAGGGGTCAGCTGATTCGCGCGCCATCTCGTTTTCGATTTCAGCTTGAAAGGCCTCAGACGTTTTTTCGTCGATGATGCAAGCCAACCCCCTTGGAAGCTTACCAAACTCCTCCCAAAAAGCCAGCCCGGCAGGCGTCGTTTTGATAAGCCGCAAGCTTAAGCCTAGCACCACTACGACGCACTTACTCGGCTGGTTTACTCCGCGCCAGGCGTTGATGGCCGAGTTTATGCGTTTGACGTTTGCGCCCTGCGCCAAAAGGTGCGCTATAGCAGACGAGTACTGCTCGGCGTCGTTTTTGCGGGTGGCTGTGGCGATGCCTCGACGTAGCTGCTCAGTTACGGCTTTCGATATGATTCGACGGCGGAGCGCGTCGTACATTACAGCCCCCGACGCGTCTTCGGATATGTAGTACCGCGCAAAAGATGTCCCGGGTGCCAAGTGCCGAGCCACGTTAGGCGCGGCGTAGCTTGGGAAGGCGATACCGCGCGCCTGCAGATGATTCCGGTCAATGTCGCAGCGGTGGAACGGCTTGGCGATCAGGTACGGCAAGCCGGCCACCTCGTTACCCGTGATCTTCATCGGACACGCAGCGGCGTCGGCTAATCTCCGGCGTAAGTTGTTATCCCCAGCCTCCAACTCGGAGAAGAAGTCCGCGTCCTTCTCGTTCAGCACTGGCGCACCGCTTGCGTGACAACTTCTTTATCGTTTTGCAAGTGTTGAGCTGCGAATTCAAGTGCCCAGCCGCTTTGCTTCACAACTTTCATTACTGCCCCTTTGTTGGCTTTGACTGCTTCAGATGCGTAACGAAATGCGGAGGCATCTTGCTGCACAGCTTTCAGGACGACCTCCTCGCTGTTTTGTAAGTCTGCAGATGCGTACTGAAGCGCCAAGCCTTTCTGCCCGACAATTTCCATGACGAAATCTTTGCTGTTCCTCAGTGTGTCACTTGCATGCTCGAAAGCGGTGTAGTTACTTATAAAAGCTTGCGTGACTATCTCTTTATCCGCTCTCAATGCTTCAGATGCGAATTCAAGTGCCCAGCCGTCTTGCTTCACAACTTTCATTACTGCCCCTTTGTTGGCTTTGACTGCTTCAGATGCGTGCTCAAATGCGAAGGCATTTTGCTGCACAGCTTTCAGGACGACCTCCTCGCTGTTTTGTAAGTCTTCATGTGCGTACAGAAGCGCACTGCCTTTCTGCCCGACAATTTCCATGACGAAATCTTTGCTGTTCCTCAGTGTGTCACTTGCATGCTCGAAATTTTTTTTTTTTTTGTTGTCTACTGTCTACAAGTGCACCGCCGCGTGACTTGAATCGGGGAGATGGCCCGAAGCTACAAGCAAATTCAAAGAACAGGGACGTGGCCTGCCTTGTAGGCACTTATAACAGCTTGCGTGACTATCTCTTTATCCGCTCTCAATGCTTCAGATGCCCAACGAAGTGCCAAGCCGTCTTGCTTCACAACTTTCATTACTGCCCCTTTGTTGGCTTTGAATGCTTCAGATGCGTACTCAAATGCCGCGCAGTATTGCTGCACAGCTTTCAGGACGACCTTCTCGCTGTTTTGTAAGTCTGCAGATGCGTACTGAAGCGCCAAGCCTCTCTGCCCGACCATTTCCATGACGAACTCTTCGCTGTTCCTCAGTGTGTCACTTGCAAACTGGAGAGAGTGCCAATAGTTTTGAAAAGCAGCCCTGACGACCGTCTCGTCCGCTTTCAATGCTGCAGATGCGTACTGAAGTGCCCCGCTATATTCCTGCACAGCGTTCAGGACAACCTCCTTGTCATTTTGTAACTCTTCATGTGCGTACTGAAGTGCACCGCCATCAGTCTGCACAGCTTGCAGGAAGATTTCCTTGATGCCATTTCGTGCTTCTGTCGATGCGTCTTCGTAAATACGTCTAAGTGCACTGCCATAACCTCTTTTCTGCACAGCGTCCCTCCACTCGCTCTGCAGCACTTCGACGGACCGCACCACGATTGAACACGATAGAGCCCCAACGCCTACACTTGCGCTACCCGGACCCATACCGTTCACGCCTTGATGTGAAGGAACCGAAAGGGCATTCAGCTCATGCAACCTTTCCCTGCCCCGTCCGTTCTCACCAGTGAGAGACACAACTTCATGACCAAACACCAACTGCAGTTGCTCCAGGAACCGCATCTCGGTGCCGAGTGTGCCCGTCTCATGTTGATCCTTTACTTTTGTGAAGAGTACTTTGCCCAAATCCTTCACCGTGTTCGTGAACGCTAGAAAGGGTTCCTCTCCTTTGCCTTTCATTGCGTTGTCAACGTCTTGTTTGTGTCCGGGACCTACTCTGACCTTGACGCCTCCACTCCCGTTAAGGAGATAAAAAACCAAAAGCATGGACTCTGGATCTTTCGCAGGAGAGGATTCCGCCGACGGGGATTGGGCCTTAAGCAGCACTCCTGCAGCGCAATGAAGGAGCAGCATGCTCAAGAAAGAGAGGAGCATCACCTTCATCTGCTTCATGATCGCAATGTGTTCAACAGGTATGATTGGAGAGCGAAATTCTTTTTACAATGCAGTTTTAAAAAAATAAGACGAGGGACGAGTTAATAATCTTAACGGAAGGAAAAAATTTGCCAGAAAGTCTTAGCTTAACGCTAAATCTCGGGTAAAAAGTTCGTTGATGAATGTAGTTCCACAAAAAAGTTTATGGTAAATTTGCCAAAAGTTTGCTGTTCTTTAGGTGCGCTTGCTGGTATCCAGTGGGTTGGTATAATCATTGACAACGTCGAGGATGAGCGATTTCTTAGTAATACTTATAGATACCCTGTCTTGATCCTATCTGATCTTCGGGAATGATCTCAGAAGGATCATCACCACTTTGCTTTTCGCTTGGTGATCAGTTCGCTTTTTTTCTATGATCTTTGATCTTCTTGAATGATCCTTTCTCATACTTGATCTTCTTGATCCTTTGATCTTACATCACTGAAGTTCTTGATCCTTGTAAATATCTTGATCGATCATAATTCTGCTCGTTTGATCAACATCAAGAAAAACGCAGATCCGTATTTGTGGAAAGAACGTTGCCGTACAAAGTAAATCAGAGCTGAATACGATACCATACAAAAGAGCTCTATACGAAGAGACCAGAACGAGATCAGCTGAATGAAAGTCAGTTTATATTTATAATAATCTATGAATGTGCAGCTATGAAGGTGCAAACATAAGTCTTGTGGTTCCTAAGATGAAGGAAGATGGAGAGCGAGCAGTCATGTCCCCATGCACTGTGGTAGAAAGAATGATCTGTATTTGAAATATAAATAGTCATCTCCCCGTGCACTAATGCACTATGATTAGTCATCTTCTCCCCATGCACTACATTATGAATCCTCCCCATGCATCGCGATAGAAGTCAGTGGTGAACCTCGGATGAAAATCATTACTCATCTACCCCTGCACTGTGACAAGAATCTTCAGTCGTCCCCCCATGCACTATATTATGAACCCTTAGTCGTTGTCGTCTCCCCATGCACTACAATCTTACTCATCTCCGCATGCACTGTGACAAGAATCTTCAGTCGTCCCCCCATGCACTATGATACGAATCGGTCGTAAACCGATACATGTCGCTCAGAGTTGAGCCAGCAAACCTACTAAACCGGAAAGCGGAACTTTTACAGTGTCTGCCGTTTACATCGGTGCCAGCCCACGTTAAAAAGATCTTGAAATCATGTGCTTGCTCTAACCCAGACGTATCCGGAATATGAAGAGGAAGTAGATAGATTCACTCATGTACCTAACAAGAGGTAGCGTTTCGAGGGTAGATGTACCTGACAAGAGGTCGATGTACCTAACAAGAGGTAGATCAATCATAGTAATGATAGACTTGTTGTGAAAAATCCCACCATAGAGAGCTCTCTCATTGAACACTTTCAGTGATATAATGGAGAGCAGATAAAAATCATAGACAAAGCCCTGTGAAAAAATCCGATCGGTAATGAAATTAACACTTTTTACTGACGCAAACCACGACCACCAATTTATCGTCTCTGATCATGTTCATCTTAATGTGAGCAAGTTTTCGAGACATCTCTGGCTTCTCCAGTCGGCTCGTACTTTTCGTCCAGTGCTGTTTGAGACCGTAAGCAAGCATCGTCTGAGCATTGCTTAGAAGCAAGTTTTTCAACTAAAATTAGGATAGATATAATGATGATGAAGATCGCAAGGAGCATCTTACCTCATGCGTACAATAGTGATAATCACTTTGTGATGGAGGGCATCGGATTGATTCATTCGGGCACAGGTAATCCCAGAATGTCCTGATTAAAAAACCACGTACAATTTTGACCTTAATATCAGTGATAACTGAACCCGAAGTATTTAAGAATGACTTTTAACTGAACCCTAGGTCATCCTCTAACTGAACCCTAAGACCTCCTCTAACCCACTCAGTGATGGCCACCTTATCCCAGAAGAACTGATTAACCCGGGAGGACTTGTTAAAAAATCTAAAAGGCCCTAAAATTCGGACACAGGTTGTCCCAGACCAAGCTCTTCACCGCGCCCTCAGAGACGTTGATAACCAAACTGATTGTAGGAAAAGGGTAAAGAAAGATATTGAAAGGGACTAAACTACCGAGCTTCTAATCCACCTACTAATCATGGGAATCCACCTACTCACTATTGGAACCCACTTAGTCATGATTAGAAAAAAAAAGGCTTATTGCAAAGGCCCGGACAAAAGAAACTCAGACAACCTTATTTTCGGAATTCTCTACCTGACGAAGGGCACGATTTTGCTTCCTTGTCGATACCTCATACTTTATATTGGACCGCGAAGACGTATCGATGTTTGATTCTACAAACTATAGAATGAGAGCAGACTACTAATTAACCCTATAATTCATGAACAAGTCGAGATATTGCACAAACTAAAAGAATAGAAAAACCTGACGAAGGGCACGATTTTGCTTCCTTGTCGATAGATTTGTGGGCACGTCACACGATTTCGCCGAAGGTCGTTGCCGCTGCAAGAGATGGGATGTGCCGAGCCTTCTCCCGCTGCTGCAGCCCAAGCATAGACACGACTGTTTTCTCCCTTTATATGAAGAGAAAATGGAAATCTAAATATATCTCTATGAGCACGAAATCAATTTTTTTTTTGCCTCAGCTTTTTTTCCTATGTTATCGTTCCAGCCAGGAGAGGATAACTAGAATAAAATAGAACAAAGGATGTTGCAATGCCACGTATAAAGAGAGGATGCCCTAGTTGTCCCGATACAGGTACTCGAGATCATGGAAAAAGTAATTCGTGTTTCTTTGACATGACTTAGTAATGTTGCACTGTCCAACATAATGTATTGCACTGTCGGTCAGCCCCTGCGACCCTGTCAGCGTCAGCGAAGCGTGTTCATCCACTTTCACGCTGTAGACCATTTTTTTTACACCCGAAGCAGTGTCGATAAAGACGCATATCGTAGCACGGGCACCAGATCGTAAGTGCGAAGTCGATTGACCAAAGTCGCAGTTAGTCGCGTTGCTAGTCGCAACGTCACTACTACTTGCTGCGCTGGTCGGCATAAACAAGACGGTGGCCAAAGAGCAGAGTAGTCTCATGAAAAAAGGCATTATATTTCGTGCTCTTCTGGAATGCTTAGTGAAAAAAACCGATATATTTCCTCTTCTGGAGTTCATTTTAGAAGTGCAAAATCGTCCATGGAGGTTCCACGCAGCTGAAAATCTGCAAATCCCAGATCCACAACTCGGAGACCCTAGTCTTGAACCCTTGGTCCTTTTGCTTGAGTGATTGATTGACTGACTGATTCCATTCTGTGCATCCCTAATAAATAGGCCTAGAACACCTACCCGCGGGATGAATCGATTGACTTTTTTCTCAGTGTTAACAAGATAGATTCTCCACCACAAGAACCTGATATGCCCAACTTGCAATTCGATGAATCAAAGTAGACGTCGGCAATCCAGTTCACCCAGGAAGACCAGACACTCAGCACTCAGTCCTCTACCTCAGAGAAGAGTTGCTCAATCTTCCACCTCAGAGAAAAGTTTTAGCGTCACTGAATTATCCTCAGAGTCTGTCAGAGGAGAATCATACTGACGTCCTCATTTCATCACTCTCTCATATGCGTCTCTCACTGTCTTAGATATTCCTTCGTCGTCTCTTAATTTTGCTCCTTCGAGCGCCCAAAAGAGTGCTGAAAGACGAATAGGCTATTAAATTCGCGCAAATTGGGCATACCCTCATCCTCATATTGGGCAGGTCAATTTTGCAATTCCGACCTCTAAAAAAGAGTGCTGGCTGAGGATTTGAGAATTCAATTTTAGCAAATTAGGCATACTCACACCCTACGATTGGGCCACGCAATTTCTCTCTTTTGACCGCTTAGAAAGAGTGCTGGAAGAGAAATACCCTTGTCTTTCATTGAGTGCCGTTGCGTCAAACATGTAGGTGGTGACTCCTGTTGAAATATGGTGGACCACTGAGAAGCGAGGCTATTTTGCTGTTGGGGATATTCATGTACTTATCTTGTCGTCTTGGAATCTATTCGTAAATCATTTTTTGCAGTGCACATCTTTCCGAACCCGAAAAGACTGATAAAAATTGATACCGATAATCAAGAACATTAAAATACTTAACTCCGCATCAAAAAATCAACTACAAAACAAACAGCACCCGCACACTCGTAACTCGCTGGTTGCACCTCCCAAAGTTCATACACCCACAGAGATGAAAAACATCCACAAATCCCAATAAAAATCAGTGCTGTGTTTCTGAAGATGGTGTTCCTCACAATTTACTAGTTGTCGTTCCATCTAGTGCTTGTAGTAGTTGCTACTCTCTAAAGCGATAGTTCTGCCTTGCTGATCCAACCTGTCGAGCACGCGCCATAGAGGGACTACTGGCCCCTGTACTCGTATACAGATCGACATCAGTTACTTCCGGACTCACGCTATTCCTACGATCCCGTGCTAGCATGTTTTCCATGATCGTGCAATTTGCAGTGCCACCTCCTTCGCAGATGGCGAGTAAACCGTAGCGACCCTGACATCGCTCTAGTTCTCATATAACAGCGTCGTCATTAGCTTGGCTCCGGTGGCACCGAAACTTATGAAGGAAGGATGAGTTACGTCTAAAATTGTAAGAAAGTGGTGTTGAGTCAAAAATAAGGTGGTGATGTAGATTATCATGTTGAGAACGTTCGTTTGCAATGACTACCTGAAGCTGTCAGCTTTCAGGGCTACTCCTGCAGCCGAATAGAAGACTCATTATCCTTGTCCTACACACCATGATAGAAAGTTTCTCTTAAAATAGGATGCCCGTCACCCCAAACATTCAACTTGGTGATGTCGGCACCTAGGGCTTCAGCCCACGCCAGAGGGACAGAAGCAAAAGCCTCGTTTACTTCGTACCGGTCAATATCGGAGATGCCAAATAAAGATAATCTAAACCTCTGAGAACTATATTTGGAGGTTTCCAATCATTGAGCAAAGATGAGGCTAAGAAGCGAGAAGTGCTTTGGAGTCGGCTGACTGTGTATAAGACCTACTCAATTTCGGGATGATGTTTGACCGTGCGCGTTTATGGTTTCTTTCTACAACTAGTTCAATCCAAAGTTGTGAAGCCATCATCATTACATTCCAGTGGAGCCTTAGCTAAAAACAGATCCGTGGATCATGCCCTACTACAGCCAACGACACAACGCGAGCTAGATGTAGATTTGCTGGCCACTCTTTTCGTCTGAAGTCGTAAAACTTTGAGGTGCACTTCTCGCAGGTGTAGGAGATTTGGAATTGCACTCTCAATTGCTGCGCCAGAAGTGGGAGCAGTACTGGTAGTTGGGTCGTTGTAGAAGCTCCCTGTTTCTTGATGTTGATCTTTTTCCTCAACAACTATTTTAACTCCGATTCCGCTGCTGGTGACGAGAACTGCACCTGCTCCGTCACAGATCTGAGGTACTGAAGGAGAAGCATACGCGGAAAGTCTTATAATATCCGCAGTCGCTTTGGCATGTAATCCTTGACGTACACCCTGATCTTCTTGTGTATGCATTTCATTTTCTCTGTGCTTCCCAGATGAGTCACCTCGTTCTGATCCATGTTTCACAACTTGTCCTTTTGTCGACGCACTTCTAGAACCAACTTGTTCAACACCCTTCTTGCTGTTAGAAGGCTCCTTCTTCTTCACGTGGACAGGCACGATCTCTCGCACAAAGCGACCTGCCCGTATACTGCGTAGTGCGCGATCGTTCGATAACACTGCAAATCGGTCTAGGATGTCCTTGGACAGGTTGTATTTGCGAGGAAGCATTTCCGCACCCGCGAACTGGGAGAACAAGGATGGTCTAATCCCAAACACTTCGTATTCCTGAGTCATGCGCGGACCGTACTTTTCCAACATGGTGTGGGAAAAGATTAGAAGGAGAAAAGAGTGACCCCGTGAGTGTCAATATACGGACACGTGAATATCATGCCAAGTTGAATCTATTCCACAAGGTTCCTAAGTCTTCCATCACGTGACTGTCATACAACTTGGAACCAACATACTGAAATACTAAATTGCACTACTAATGCATCATCAAGGCCAATTTTCATCATCAAGATCCATATATTTCTTAAAATAGGGACACCACGATCTTCAGCTTTACGTCCGTCCATTACGCTCGCACCTATAGGTATCTGTGACATGACTTCGACACCACCAGCTATCACGAAGTGCTCTTTTTTTCTGGATTATAGAGAGAGAAATAGCCATCATAAGCGGATCTCAAATAGTTATACTCGCAACTATGGACAATTCAGTTACTCACGTCGATAGATAGAACGAAAAATCTGTAAATCATGTATTCATCATCTCTAGTCTATTACCTTACGACGCGGACGCACAGTCCTCCGCTCAGAGTGGCCTCTACATACTGCCCCACTAAAAAACCCGTAAAAAACTCCCTGAAGAGAGAGCTGCTGGGCGAACTGCCTGGGCCGCAAAGTGAATTGCTTGTTGACTGCTCCCGCATTGCTGCTCGACCGTGACCCCTGGCACAGTCTCTGGCCTACGTCGACTGGCTAGGACACAATTCCTAGCTAAGTTGCCGCTCTGTGCTCCGATCTGCGAAAGAGATCCTAAAATCGCATCCGCGAACAGAATGGAGCCAGGCACATCCACAGTATCTTCTCAACGAGGGCATCGAGGAGAGAGCTATGAACAGAGGAATTCGATCCTCTTGCTCTTCGACGACGGAGACCACAGCCATATTAATTTACTCTGAAAGAGCGTCAGATCAATAAATAGGACTTTTCTAATCACAACGAACGAAAAAACTGAAACTACGCTTACTGAAACTACGCAAATAGCTTCGCAAATTTCGTAGCTTCGCAAAAAGCAGGGGGAGGGCGATCATCAACCTTATGGAAAACGGTAGAGTCCATCCAAAAAAAGATCTTTTACTTCCTAAGAAGAACAGTTGTAGTCGAAGAATGCAATCCTCATGGAATAGCAAGCCCTTTGGCTCAATTGGTTAGGTTAGGTTGTGGATCCTTCTCAACGAGCCCCACGGGCACATGCTCGCCTCCGAGGATGATGGGTGACCTAGTTTTTTTGTGTGTATGGAATGTTTTCGTAGAAATCTAATTCTTTCTACGACGTGGAATCCTTAATATATCGGACCGACCTTAAGAACTTCTCAACAATACATTACAAGCATTCTCAATTTATTATCTTTAGCTCACAGCACCCACAGGAGGAGCTTCAATCTTCTTATTAGTGAAGACGTCTCTAACAGCACGACTCCCCTTAGACTTAGTAAGACTAACGCCTTATGAACGTTGTAATCCAGCCGTAGAACGACATATCCCTCATCTAGATGATGATGTGAATCTATGCGGCATCCCATATCACTCATCTAGATATTCTCACCCCACCCCAATTTTCTCACCACTTTCCTCCTGCCTCATCCTCGTCGTCGTCTTCCTCTTCCTCTGGCGCCATGCCTTCCTCATCGCTGTTTGCGTCGTGCTGACGGATCTCCCTCTCCCTGGCTTTGGATCTTAGAAGTCAGATGATCATAAGTACTGTTTTTAGAAAGGAGAACTAGATGATCAGTACCTTTTTCACGAGAAGGAACTAATATCTATATCTAATTGATTTGAAATAAGTAATAATAATTGAAAGTATCAGTATCTTCACAAGAACTAGTGGAATCTATCTCTAATTGATTCGAAATAAGCTTTGAAGCGCAGAGAACCGTTCAAAAAAATCGATCACCATTCACGTGAGTCATAATCGACCCGCCTCCGCAGCTGTTTGAAGCAAAACCCGCGTCTCATTGTCAACGCCAAGTCCTATTGGGCGGCTTTGATTAATACTGTTCGAGGACGCAGAGAGCTTAGAAGATCATTGCCTTTGGGGACTACTCAATGTATTGGAACTTCACGACATATCACTCATCTACAGATGACGATGTGAATCTATGCGGCATCACATATCAATCATCTAGATATTCTCATCATCATAACGATAGCCCCACCACCAGCAGCACCACGGCCTCCACGCGGGTTGCCACGGTTCTGTACTTTCAACAAATCGTGCTGAAACTTGTCGTTTCTACTTCCAACGTCTTCAGGAGTTTCTGGGGAGGACGATGCTCTATTCCCACCAACTTGCCTTCCAACGGGCCTTTTCACCGCACTTGCTTCGATTGGCATCATTCCTCTATCGGGGTTCTTCAGGCGCGCTGCGATGATTTTACCAACTTAGAGGTTCTTTGTAGTTCTTCCAGAATTTATTACATTCATTTCTCACAACATCATCCTGGGCTTCATTTCTAGTAGGAAGAGAGCTAAGGAAACAGCTAAGGCGGTATGTAATTCGGTAATCCTTAACCGATGCTATCTGGTTGAGAAGCAGCCAAGCCAGGGGTGGAGGCTTGACTTCCGTAGGCATTGGAAGGTCCTCGTGGCGTCTTATAGTCCTGGGAACAGGACTGCGATGCCGGTGCCATCCCAAGAGCGCTGTTGCTTGCGCTGGGAGGGATCAGACTGGTGGGAATTAGAAGATTGCTGGTGGATGAAACTAGATCTATGAAACTAGACCTACTGGAACAACTTCCTATAAACAGAATTATTCTGAAAAAACTGACTATTCTTCGTAGATTTAAATTAGAAGATTACTGAAAATTGCCTGAATTTCATTCGAGAGCAGAAAAAAAAATTTTGACACTACTGTACACGTCGCGAATCCGACTACTTCGCATGCATCAAACAAACACCATGCCACTTATGGCGACACTGAAAACGCTGATTTCATCTGTTGTACACATAACTTCTTTGTGGGCTTCAAGCCACTACCCACTGTGTCTCCTGGGTCTCCTGGGGTGTTGGGCGTTGCTGGCGGCATCTCCATAGCTCCATCCATTTTGACGTCTAAGGGTTGCTTCGCTGCTGCCGCGGTTGTAGCGCCAACAGGTTGCTTTGCTGCTGCTGTGTTTACAAGAACAGGCTGTCTTGCTCCCGCCCTTCTGGCATCAACGGGTGCCTGCTCTACTGCCGCTGATGTAGCGTCATGAGGCTGCTTTGCTACTGCCTTCGGCGCAGGAACAGGTTGGTTCCCTACCGCCTCCGAAGCAAGTACACCCTGCTTCGCAACCCTTTTTCCACCTGCTGCTGCCGACGACTTCCCTGAGAAAGCTCCTGCTCTATTTCCTGGTGCACAACTCTTGCTCTTCTCCTCAGAACTACTTGAATTACCTCCCAAGATGTTGGCATCTAAAATGAACCCACTTGGACTAGATGATCCAACACGAAGATCTTGTTCTTTTTCCAGCGGCGCTAGTGCCTTCTTTGTACCAATGGGAGGCGGGTTCTTTTTGGCAAGCGAAGTACTACTAGACGAAGAAGAAGCGGCCACTTTCTTTCCTCCAGATACAGCTGTGGTTGAAAATACCACAGGACGACTCATAGTAACCAAAGCAGCAACATCAGCATCATCACCCTCACTTTCGTCATCGAATATGATGCATGAGGAATCAAGGCGTTGTCGTTTCACTCCCTTTACTGACCTCTTGCTAGATGCTTTAGCCTTGGCAGAAGATCGACATGCTGGAGTTTTCAACAACTGCATCGGCTGTCGCTGCGCTTGCTTTTGGCCAAGATCATCTTGCTGGGTCGTTGATGGCGGAAGTGGAGCGACAACCATGGATGATGACACCCCTACCACTAGTACTGGAGGTACTTTCACTACTGGTGGTACATTCTTGGAACCCATCGCTAGATCCGCCGCTAGATCTTCCTGATGATCCAAGGTATAAGTAATCTTTCTGCTCCTGCTTGTGTTACTGCCATTAGCAACAGCACTGCCTGCACCTTGCCAAGAAGAGCAACTAGCAGCTGCACCTCCTTGGTGACAGGAGCTAAGCAATTTCGTGTCGTCTTCGTGATCCTCCGAAATCGTGCGCTCATTACGTTTTGCAAGTTCAGCATTGAATCGCACCTTCTTACGATTCTTCGTGTCTTCCCCGGCATCTTGGTCTCCGTCTGCATCAGCCATTTGCAATTGGGGTGGTCGCTTTCGGTTCGTCGAACTGCCGTCCACAGAATGAGGAACAACAGGAGATGAAGCCTGCTGCATCGCACTACTTTGCGGAATAATTACAGGAAACGCCAAAGGTACCGTACTATTGTTCGCAGATGTCTTGCTTTGGTCCCCATTGTTCTGGGAAGCCGCTTGCGACCCATGGTCCGGGAGACAGACATCCACAGCACCACTTGTACTAGCCTGTTGAGGAAAAGAAATAAGTCCCTCAAAGAGGTCATTATTCTTCTTATTCACTTCCTTTTGCACCCTTCTTGTATACTCGCGTGCGCGTGTCATCCTGGTTGGACAATCCCCCATCATCCGAATCTCCTTTCCCTCTCGCGCAAGAGCTTGTGCTTCATCTGCAATAAATTGTGGTGCGAAGTGACAAAAGATTATACTTATAGCTCAAGAAACACCTTCAACACAGGATCATCCATGAAAAAAACTTCTCTTCAGACCAATAACGTCGTATAACAAATATGTGTAGTTCAAAACAACAATAATCTAAGTAAGTCTTTACCTGTTCCAGCGGCACTTTGGTCCCCCATCACGGCATCTTCTATCTCTACATCTTGTGTCACCCTTCGAGCATATTTCTTCTCTTCCTGCAAAGCCGCTAAAGCGCGCCACCGCGATCGGCAATCGTTTGCCGTAACTCGTTGCTTCGCTACTGAGCTGAGGTGTTCTAGCATGTCCTGCCAATGGCTCTCATCCATTCCTGTAAGCCGATCATTCGCAGTCAAAATCTCATCCATTTTCGCATGCCACAGCACCTTCCGATTCGAAACCGCTTCCAAAACCATATTCACCAAGCCCATATTACTCGCTTTGTCCACTGAAACAAGTTCATGGTTTTGATTCCCTACTTGTTCTCCTTCAACAGCGACTCCACCTCCACTCGTGCTGCTCCCTTGAAGATCATGTAGTACACTATGCGGACCTTGTTCATCCTTTCTACTCGTCAGTGAAGACGCCTGGATCATATGCAACTTGGGAGCTGCAGCGACTGACCGTATACGGCCTGCGGCGGACCAGCGTGCCCAAGTGCGGTAGTTGAACGGAAACATCATTTGACGGATCCTTGTCAGGGCTTTCGTGAGATTAGAATTAGCCGAAAACTACAGAAAAACAAAATCTTCTAATCATGAGTCACTCATTCATTCATTCGAACCACGTAGCATTCATTCATTCGAACCCGTAAATCATGCAACAAGTAGGAAACTAGGTCCCAAGTCGTGAGCAACAAAACCTTTTTTTCAAAAAAATGAGTCAATACCTGAATGACTTGATACTTCTCCCTCGACAACAAGGTGTACTGATGAAAATCTAAACTAGCTCTCAGGCAGTGCTTGATAGTGTGAATCTATTCGGCAATCTGCCTGAGATTTCCTTGGCGACTTCTTCTCAGGTAGTTCTTATCATCTACTAACTTCCAGACAAGTTGTCATAACTTCATCTGATCTTTCCTGTATCAGGTCTTTCCCACGCAACTGCTCGTCGGGCCAGAATTTCAACCATCGCAAAAAATTTTGCTCCACCATTCTTTCGGTAACCCCACTGCTCGTCCAGCGCAGGCCGCGATGATACACTCCAGAAGCATCAAGAGTAGCATCCCACGCCGCCACTTCGCGACTTTTCTCCTTAGAAGGGGAGGATGTTGAAGGCCCATGTAGTGGTGGTCTATCCTCTACTTTTTCCTCCCACCATCGTGCGCGGCTCTGCCGCCAGGTGAAGTCCAGCGCCAGACGGTCATCATCGCCCGAATCTGCTAAATCCCCTGCGTCGATCGCTGCCGCATGTTCAAACGCGAGAAAGTCATTAGAAAAGAGATTGCGTACCGTCGGGCGATTAGCTGGCTAGAATTTTTTTCATTAAACATATGAAGAACCCCTTGATGTCTTGTTTGATGTCTCATATGGGGATGAAACAATAATCCACCTAGCACCTACTTTCATGAGCACGTCACTCCAAACTCTTCGAAATACTTGAGGATCATGGTCATGCGGCATAGTCGATTCATAACACTATTCAAATGTATCTCGCGTCTTCCGGCATTCTGGGCCAACGTCGTCACCTCCACTGGTATCCATCCTTCCTGAAAGTACACGCTAAACCTTGCCCCAGCCGGTGGCCCCGCTCGAAAATCCGTCCCACAACGCCTTTCCTTTTTTGTCCTCTGCTCCTCTATTGTGTTTGGTGCTGCTATCGTGGTAGACGTAGACGATGATGATTTCTTCCCGTCTACTGTCTTGGTAGACGATGATGATGTCGTCTTGTGTTCGTCTTTCTTCTTTGTAGACGCTGTTGAGCCTTCTTCTCCGTTGGAAATAGCAACAACCAAGCCAGCATGCCGATCTAGAAAGAACGACGCAGGGTCTGTCTCGCTGCCAGGGGCTGGGAGCTTAATATCCACCTTGTTGACGCCAGGCTCACTAGGATTCTTGACCGGAAAGTAGGGCGGGAGACTTTAGAAGATGTTGAAAAAACCTTGCTGGTACATCTAAGCATAGTAGGCTGCCGAGTACTGATTTGAAGTTCCAAGCTGCTTGATTCATAAACGGATGATAGTTCGATGATTATATTCTTCATATCTAAAACGAGCCGAAGAGGTTTTCATTACCTAAATCCAAAACATAATACAAAGCCGACGAGAACGACCCAGACGAAGCCGACGTCTCCTCCGCCCTGTCGAATTGTTCCAGTTCTGTCCTCGTCACGAAGCAGACGTCGCAGATAGACTCCCTCTCAGGCAGCGAGACGCCCTTGTTCGTCAGCGGCGCAAACTTCACAGCGCTGAGTGAGCCACTAAGATTCTCGTCAAACGGCTTCAAATGTTCGTTCGCGATGTAGGGAGTTAGAACGATCTTCGCCTGAAGGCCCTGATAGTATTCACTTATGCAGCACATGCACAACTATTCTGTCAAAACAAGAAATATACTGGTATCCGTCCCAGAAAATGAAGATCATGGTACTTACTACGACGTATTACAAAATAACTCGAGCTTCTCTCTAGATAATGCAACAAAGTTCTTCCTCCACATAACGCATTCACTTTTCTGCTTTTATCCCACCACTTTGCTGGGAACTCGGGAGTAAAGAAAAGTTTGCAAGCATTGGGATTCGGGACTTCATTGAAATACCCAACGTCGGTTGAAAGCGTTTTCAGTATGTAACATTCTCCGTTACCTGAGAAAAAGGTTTGGTGGAGTGGAACGGTGTAGTCGTGGAGCTTGAGTTGGTATTAGTAGTAATCTTTGTAGTAGCATTAGTAGTGTACCCTACCCGTTGTAGTAATGGCATTTTGTAGTACTAGCCTACCCGTGTAATAAAATTATCGTTGTCTAGTAATAGCGTTAGCAGATGTACAATTGAACGGCGAGGAGGTATTTTGTTTGGAAAGGTGGCAAAGCGACGGAGCATACTATCGCAACGACAAGCTATGCATCACACATGTAGGACAAGGTACAGTACATTAGGACAAGGTATACGCATACATCAAGGTAGGCATATGTAGAGTGAGATGAACAAAGAGCGCAAGAAGGTCATCTAGATTCATGTCCTCTGGATCTGGAAGTCCCACAATGACGTACATATCATCAACTGGATCTTCCCTTATCGACATCAAATGCTCGGAACGACGCAGTAGAAACAAAGTCTAAACATGATACATGAGTAGCATAGCATAAACTACGCAGCAGGAACAATATCTAACGCCTAAACATAAGATAAATAGTACTCGTCACAACAAACAACCCGTTTGGCCCAGAGGATTTTTGGCGATCGATTTTTACCACTGGCGCTGTTTCTACCGGACAACCTTTCTCTGGAAGGCCAAAAATACACACTTGATAGTGCTTGCTCCCGGGTCTTTCGAGTATTAGAGGAGCTAAGGGTAGAGGCAGGAATGATAGAAGAGGCCGAGGTACTAGAGAGCAGGGATAACTACGTAGAAGAGGTAGAGGTGGAGCGCAGGGATAAGTACAATTGTTTCGAAAAACAATGCAGTATGAAGTCACGTCGTACTAAGTACAATAATTTGTCTCCTATAATTCGTATAAAGAGTAGTGGTTTTGAAGACGACAAATACGATAAAAGCTGTCATAATATAATTTTGGGAAACCAGGCTTTGAGAAGCGTCCCTTTGCGCCACTTACAAGCCTGGCACTCCTCCCCGTTAGCAGACGCTACCCTGCCGCTACTTAACCCACACCTCCCATGAAAAACGCCATTGCATGACTTACCTAGGAGTTGCAGAGTTTTTTCCGTTTGATGAAGCTTGTCACTGCATGATTTACCTGTAACAAGTGAAGTATTTTGGGTTTGATGAACACGTGGCGATTGCAGCTAGTTACTTAAGAGGGCCTTCGATGTAACTTTTCTTGTTGCATCATGTCCTGCATGATAAAACTTATGATCAGTTGAGAGTTTTTTACATGTGAAGTTCGGCTGCACGTAGCGGGACGCGGATCCTGGCGTGCGAAGTCTAGAAGATTTCGATTTCCCCACACCCTCTTCCAAGTCGCACTCTTCACCGCACTTTTTGTATGAACGGGAGTATCTACTGAAGACGGAAACGAAATATTTATTGAACATGAAAATCTAATAGTAGTGGATCTTCTACTATAATAGTATCATAAATACTATCTATTGAACATGAAAATCTAATAGTAGTGGATCTTCTACTATATAAATACAGTGGCCCTTACTAAGATGCCTGGAATAGTGGATGACCTTCTACTAGTAGTATGACCTTCTACTCATATTAGCTGTGATAGAGCCCTAACGAATCTAGTAGTAGAGCTTCTACTACTAGTATTGAAAAACAATACAGTGGTTTCTACTACGACAGTTGTTACTCGCGAGAATGAAGACATTAAAGCATATGATCGCATGATGTGAAGAAGTAGTAACTTCGTTGGAGTATGTTCCTAGGGTGAAGGTGAAGATACTGGTCCATATACTTAATACTACAGCTTGAGGTCCTATTCTTGTCATAAATTGCAAAACCTCTGGCACTTCTTTCTTGACGGACCGCACACTTCACAACGCCAGTAGGGTCGGAAGCTCTCTATGCTCTCTTTAGGAACCTTCGGCCAAGCGCAATCGGGATGAAACGTTTCCTCGCAACCTCCGCACCTAAGCAGCCTGTCTGGGCGATCCGCCTTCCCACATCGGAAACAGCATATAGTTGCCTGGTCTACGGCGATTTCCTGTTAGACGAGGTATGGCTATATTTGTTGTAAAGAAAAGAACAATCGTCGATTTTTTGAATTTTCTTCTTTAAACAAGAAGCACCTCCATAGGAAAAAGCGCACCACTATCTATAAACTAGTATTTCTTTCTTGCCGATGAACAAAAAAAACTAGTCTACGTATTATGCAGCGACAAATAGTAAGCGATTTCAACGACGAATCGGTTCCATAAAAACAACTAGCTGGGGCTGCCTTCTTCCCTCCCTTCTGCACCTTATCCTTGGGTGCGGCCTTTCTTCGTCCGCCCATCTTTTTCTTTGTCTGATAGAGGACGATGCAACTACGCAATAAATGTTCCCGTGCAGGAAATCTGTAGAACTATCAAACCAAGGTCAAGCTCCACAGCTAATCTCAAGCGACATCATCCATGAAGTCAGACAGTGCTTTTTTTTATCGTGTCGTTTTAAGCTGCCTACAGAGGAAGTGTGCGAGTTTTTTCCCACCTGCATAATGAAGATCTTCTTCAAGAGGTCATAGATTGGCTATATAAGTCAGCTGCACTTTTTCATGTTGAACGTCGTATTCTCATCGTCTCCTAACGTTAGTGACTGGCTAGTACATCCTTCTGCGCGAAAAAAAGCTTTACGAATTTCAGCGTGATTCCCGAGTTTACTCATCTTCGGTTTCCGTCTAGCGAGACGAAACGCAGAATGCTCCAGCATGCGACCACGTAGGAACTGAATGTACGAAGAGAGAGTCAAATCCGACATACTACGTAGGAACACCTCTTCGGAGGACGAGGGAAGCACTTGTCGTCCTTCGAAGAACAAGACGATACTTAATTTTGGAGAGTCAATCGTTGAAGCCGATTCTTATAATGTGATGCCAATCTTCGTTGTGCTGGTCACCACGACCACCGATATCAAACCGCTCGATAATAATTTGATGTCATAGAATGACCTATTTCGAAAGCGTCTTAGCTTCACGGCGAATCCAAGTATTCATGAACCCTTGTTGATGTGGTTAGTTTCACAAGTCGACGCATTCACGAACCCCTGATTTGGAGGCTCTTTCGCGACGAAGACAAATGTGTAAGTACTTATCATGTTGACGGTGTCCACACTTAGTTTGACAACAAAGGCTGCTCTTTGCAAAACACATGACGCGATGATATGCGTCGCAGATTCGATTTTTCTGAAGGCATCGTAGGGACTCATCCACTTAGCATCTTTGATGTGGCCCGTGCAAGGTGCCAATAATACAAGAGACCCGGCCAAGATATTCGAGTGCGTACAAAAAGACGCATCACGCGTCGTGAAGTGCTTCAAAGACAGGCGCCGCAAATTATGCTCCCGTATCTGCAGAAGATCGCCCGTCGCTAGGTGCGTCAAAGTGCCCATCGTCATGCGCCTCAAAGTGCCCACCGCTATGTGCCTCAAAGTGCCCGCCGTCATGTGCCTCAAATGCCCAGCGCCATGCGCCTCAAAAGGCCGGCCGCTAAGCGCCTTAAAAGGCCGGCCGCCAAGTGCCTCAAAGTGCCCACCGTTATGTGCCTCAAAATGCCCAGCGCTATGCGCCTCAAAAGGCCGGTCGCTAAATGCCTCAAAGGGCCGGCCGCTAAGTGCCTCATCGGCGCGGCCTGCCGTAAGTGCTTCGGGAGAGCGTATCGGGCAAACTATCCTTGCGGAACTTTTTCATAAAGTTCGCGCACCCGAGGTGCCTCTTCTTGTCCACAACGACGCAGCGATCGTTTAGTGCGCCTGCCGTAAGTGCTTCGGGAGAGCGTATCGGGCAGACTATTCTTGCGGAGCTTTTTCATAAAGTTCGCGCGCCCGAGGTGCCTCTTCTTGTCCACAACGACGCAGCGGTCGTTTAGTGCGCGGCCAAGCTTTGCACCAGAGGCATTTCGCAGACTGATCAAATTCGCACAATTTCGACCCCTCACCGACAAAACCCCAAAGGCTTCACTTCGTTGAGGAGATGGACCCTCTTCCCCTGATGAACGAAACCAGAACCGACCGCGGCCGCGTGTGGATTCTAGTCGCGAGAGCTTCCCGACTCCGAGGGGGCTCCTCGTCTTGAAGAAGTCCAGAGCTCGGCCGGAGCTTCCTTAAAGACAAACACGGGGAGCGCACTGCACTCGCATCATAACCCACCGCCAGCCACCGCGCGGCGCCCTCGAATCTCAGGAGCGAACCAAGCACGGCCGAGCGGGACACACTCACTGCGCACGCAGTGCAGCCCGCCACCAGCCACCGCAGCGCGCCCTCGAATCTCCTGGAAGAGAGGAAAACGAGAGGGAAACAAAAGAGAAGACGAAGGCAACACAGGCGGGACCGTGTCGACCGGGTCAGCACTGGAGAACCATGCGCAGCCAAAGCCGCAGCATCGTCATGCCGTCCCGCCTCCTGCCTCTCTTGTTTCTCTCCCCGCTTCTCGCTCCTCGAGATTCGAGGGCGCGCCGCGGTGGCTGGTGGCATCGGGCTCCCTGCGGTTCAGAAGACCCAAGAAAAAGAAGAGGGAAGAGCAGAGAAGACGCGCACGCAGTGCGACGCAGCCTGCCCCGTTTGGGTTCCACGCTCAGCGTGAGCCCCAAGCCTGGCCCGAGTTTCGAGCATGCTGCGAGTTTCGCCCCTGCTTCGGGCTCCGGGCGTGCTTGGGGCTCGCCTGTTTGGTTTGAGGTCGGGCGGGCTTCCGGCGAGTCTGGTCGGCTTGCGCTTGGGTGTTGACCGTGTTCGGCTCGCGTTTCCGTTTGGCGTGGGTTTGGTTTGAGTTTGGCTGGAGTTTGGTTCGCATTTGCGCGCGGGCGTGATTTGGGTTTGGCTTGAGTTTGGTCCGGGCTTGGTTTGCGTTTCAGCCCGGTTTGTGTTTGGTTCTGGCTCGGCTCGAGGCTGGTTGAGGTTTGGCTTGCGTTTGGCCTGCGTTTGGTTTCAGTTTCGTCCGCGTTGGGATTCGGTTTCGCTCGCGTTTGGTTTCAGTTTGGCCACGGTTTGGCTCTCGTTGGGCTTCTTTGGTTTGGGTTTGGCTTATGTGTGTTGCCTGAGGCTACCAGAAAGCGGCGCACTTTTGCGCATCTTTCAGCCTGGCCCTTCTGATCTTGGGCCTTTTCCTGGTGGTGACTGGAACAAAGAAGGCGCAGGCTGGCAACTTCTGGGCCGTTTTCCTGCTTGGGCTTTCAGGGCTTTGGCTCTTTCACCAGTGGCGCCTAGGGAATTCCTTGCGCGGTTTAGCAACTTCAGGACCATTCTCCAACTTGAGGCCGGTAGCTTCTGACTTTTCCCCAGTGGTGTTGAGGTTTTTCCTGCAGGATTTAACAACTTTGGGCCACTTTCCAACTTGAAGCCGGTAGGCTCTGGAACTTTTACAAGTAGAGACTGCGCGAGAATCTTTATGAATTTGATAAGGTTGCACTTTTCTAGCCATGCACCCAAGAAAGAAAATCAAGGAAGGAGGTGCAAAACATGAGCAGAGTGGTTTTCTTCGCCAAGCTGTCGCCCCACCTCGCGAAACTCTTAAGCGAAACCGTTTAGGGACAGTGGTACTCCTCGGCCGTTTTCGATATTTTGCCACTTTTCTCCACAGTTTGGGACGCCGGTCCGCCTATCGCCAGGCCAGTTCGTCTCTCTCCTTTTCATATTTCCTTATCGGTTTCGCCTCCGTCTTTCCGGGCTCTTTTCCGGTGCTTTCGCCATTCCCTTATCGGTTTCGCCGCTCGCTCGGCGTGCCCGTCTCCTCTGCAATCCCTCCGGCTACCGATACAAACCGAATGAGACGACAGGCGACACCATCAGACACGGGCCCGCCCTCCTTTTTAAGGGTCTGGGACATCATTAGCGGGAAAGGCTAAACCTGTGCGCCTGTAGCTCTCAGAAGTGCGCCCGGTAAAGGTAGCACACGCACACGAAGAAAGCCAAGGAGATAACTCCAACCGAGAACAACTCCCGGGAAGACCGCAGAAGCCTGGGAGGGCGCCCTGTCTGGCGCATCGTCCCGCCACGCGCGCGGACTGTGCCCAACCATGTAACCTTGTACAAGGGGGGCGCGGGGTACAAGGGGGGCGCGGGGTACAAGGGGGGCGGGGGAATGCTCCAGGAAGCCGGCCGCGTAACTGAAGGGCTAGCCCGTGCCCCCTCGCCCCTGGCGGCCTTCGGCCGCCAGGGAGACGATGCGCCAGACCGGGCGCCCTCCCAGGCTTCTGCGGTCCTCCCGGGAGATGTTGGCGGTTGGAGTTATCTCCTCGCGTTCTTCGTGTGGGCGTGCTACCTATACCGGGCGCACTTCTGAGAGCCACAGGCGCACAGGTTTAGCCTTTCCCGTTAATGATGTCCCAGGCCCTTAAAAAGGAGGGCGGGCCCGTGTCTGATGGTGTCGCCTGTCGTCTCCTTCGGTTTGTATCGGTAGCCGGAGGGATTGCAGAGGAGACGGGCACGCCGAGCGAGCGGCGAAACCGATAAGGGAACGGCGAAAGCACCGGAAAAGAGCCCAGAAAGATGGAGGCGAAATCGATAAGGAAATATGAAAAGGAGAGAGACGAACTGGCCTCGCGATAGGCGGACTGGCGTCCCAAACTGTGGAGAAAAGTGGCAAAATATCGAAAGCGGCCGAGAAGCACCACTGTCCCTTAACGGCTTCGCTTAAGAGTTTCGCGAGGGCGTTGGCGTCCGATTAATGAAACTGGCGCGCTTTTTTTATGCAATTGCCTGAGGAATTTGACTGCTCTGCATTTTGTTAATAAAAGTAGTGCCTTTGCGTCAGCCGTCCACCTGTTTGCAATAATTCGACGCGCGTGGCGCCTTCCCTCCCAGAGGATGCATCTCCCAGCCGGGCAGCCGGCTACTTTCTAAAAAATTAGAGGAGCTCTCTCCTTATTTTTTTGGAAAGTAGGCGGCTGCTTGGATGAAAAATACACACTCCGGGGGCGAAGGCGTCAGCAGCGTCGAACTTTCGAGCGTGGAGCAGATGGCTGGACAGTCGAAAGAGGTCCACTCTTTGGCATTTTTTGACATGTGACAGCACTGGCAAAAACTCCCGGCGGTCTGATTTTCAGGAGGAAAACTTGCAAAAATAGGCAGGGCGGGGCCCTTCTCTTTCGACTCCCAACGGAGATAAATTCGCAGCCCAAGCGCTCGCCCCTAGTAATTGAACTGAAAAACGCGAAAAGAGTTCCCCTGTTCCTAATCCCTAAAGGAATAAGCTCGCAGCTCAAGCGCTCCCCTCTAGTAATTGAACAGAAAAACGCGACAGAAGTTCTCTCTTTTCTGCCCTTGCCCGGCGTTTAAAATTCTGGCCCTGCATAAGGAAAACCGCGCACAGCCTCCCAGGCTTTCCGAGGAGCTTGGAGGAGGCTCACCAATGAGCCTCGACCGGGCTGCCGCAAATGTGTCGGGGCGACTCCAGAGGGGCCCGCGGTCCCGAAGGAGTCCCTCGCCCGTTCTGGTTTTCTCTCTGTTCTGGCGGGAGTTTGGAGCCGTGTCGAAGTGTCTCCAAAATGACAGACAGACACGCCCCAGATGGATCAAATTTGGACAATTTC